CAACTGGGGAAACCATAGCCTTGACTATACGCACTTTTGTTGTCAAGGGTGATATCTCTGCTTTTTAGTATGCTGTATAGATTTGCCATAGCTTTCCTCCCCAGGAGCAAATGTCTTTTAATTTCTTGGCTTCAGTCCCCATCTGCGGTGATGTTGGATCCTCCTACATGTATAAAACTACCTGCATATAAGACGAGTAATCGTTGTCTTTTGGTGACATTACGGTGAAAACCCAGCCTGTTTGGTTAATCCGGAACTCAACATATTGTCTGAATCCAGAAAGTGAGTTCATTCAAAAACCCAAATAAAGGATATGAATCGAAGCCAATGCAAAATAAAGTCGTTTCCCCTAAATTCCAAGCAGACTCTTACAATTAGCTTTTCTTCTTTCCACACCCTTGTTTGGCCAACCATCTCTTCCTGCCCCAAACAAAACTCCCACGCTTTTGAAATCCAAGCTGAAGCTCCACCCTGTTGTAGAGGTGGTGAGCCTCTGATTCGCCGGCTGCCTTCATTTAAAAGGGAAGGTGAACTATGTGCTAGGAAAGGTTGGGAAGGAGAGAGTCACCATGGGGAGGCTGGCCTTTTTTCTTCACTTATGTGCCTGGACTTTTGCTTTCGGTGAGTGTTTGGTTGAGGAAGGGTGATTATTATTATTATTTTTTAAATTATGAACTTCTGTGGGCAAAAATGTATTTTGCTTTAATACTGATGTTTGTGGGTGGAACATTCAGTGTGTTTGCTTTGCTTGCTCCCTGCGTAGCTGGGTTCCTCTCCTTCAGTTGGGGAGGTGGGGGTAGACAGGTTGCTACATCACTCTTCAAGAAGTGAGAATTGCCATGGCTTTAATACCCCCAAAAAGGGAACTATTGAAACACAAGAGACTATTCGCAGTTTGAGGGTGGAAACCACAAGCTTTGCAGATGTATTTAGAATATTACAAGAAATGGCGAAGTGGCCTCTGAAAACACCTCTTGATTGGAACTGTGTTCATAAATTCTGTCTCAACTGCAAACGAGCTAACCCTCGTCTAGTTACGTTGTGCAAATCAGACTGTCCTGTCTGACACACACAAAAAGGAGTATAGTTCTGGGCTTTACGTGATTTTGAGAAATTACAGCAGTGGCAGGCCAGGTGTGTAGGGTGATGTGCAAACAATCTCAAACTGTCCCCCATCACTTTGATGCTTGCAAGCAAGATCCCATTGGTGCACACTCAAGAGACCATAGAGTTGGCATAGTTTGTCAGCCAATCCAGGTTCAAAAAGCAGAGAGTTTTCACAGGAAAGAGTTCAGGGCATAACAGACAGAGATCCCAGGAAATGGAATACTTATCTGTAATGGATGCCTTGCCTCTGATGATCATAAAAGAGACCCCCACCAAGGACAAGCAGTCACTGGTGGGAAGCCCCTTGCCTGGCAGGGAGCCTGAAGACAGCATAAGGAGAATAGCATAATAACAAGCATTGGAAGGGACCTTGGAGGTCTTCTAGTCTAACCTCCAGTCCATTCTGAACAAGTGGCTGAACAATTTCCTCTTGAAAACTTCCAGTGATGGAGCACCCACAACTTCTGCCAACTTCAATGAGGCACCGAGAGGCTTCTGTTCATGTCTGATTCATTAGAAAACCTGTTTTTCGTCCATTTTATGAGTTACAGGGCATTTCATCAGATACATAGAGATCTGTCCTTCATTCAGCCCTCTGTATCTTAGGACTGGAAGGAGCTCCTGGATCAAACCCCTCATATTCTGCTGCTTCCAAGCTGGGCTACTGCCCAATCAGTCTGATGTGTCTCCCTACTGCTGTCTGGGTCAGGCTGCTATTCCACAGGGTCCTCTGAAGTCACCACTACCTTCTCAGACACCTCAGAGTCAGAAGTGGACATGACAAACCATGGGGGTTAAGTCACAGTTCAGGGTGCCTTGCAAACAAACCAACATATCTTCTGTGGACGTACAGTTTCACTCATTGGGGGGTGAGGGGAAGTGATGGAAAATGCTGAGATGGGAAAAGATCAGTGATGGGATTCAAAATTTCTTGCTACCGGTTCTGTGGCCGTGGCTTGATGGGTGTGGTGTGGCTTGGTGGGCATGGCTTGGTGGGTATGGCAGGGGAAGGTTACTGCAAAATCCCCATTTCCTCCCGATCAGCTGGGACTTGGGAGGCAGAGAATGGATGGGGACAGGGCCAGTCACAGGCGGTTCTCCAAATCACTCAAAATTTCCACTACTGGTTCTCCAGAATTGGTCAGAACCTGCTGAATACCACCTCTGGAAAAGATGTGCTGTAATCTTGGGTTATAAACACCAAGGTTAAGGTCAAGATCAGTATTCCTCATCCTTAGGAAGTTTTAAGATGTGTGGATTTCAACTCCCAGAATTCTTCAGCCATTGAAGTCCACACTTTTTAAAGTTCCCAAGGTTGAGAAACACTGATTTAGATAAATCCACTGATTAAGGCGCAGGAGCTTAGAAGCTAATGCAACAGTGGCACTTCCATCTGTGGCTTTCCTCCTTTGGGCTCTGCCACTCCTCAAAACACCCTCCAAAGGCGTTTTAAATGTTTCCTTGTGACTTCTTGTGATCATTTTAGATTAGCTGGTTGCTTAATTTTGATTTTGCTGTTAGCGACCAAGAGAACTCTTCTCCAGGATTAGGGTGGCAAAGAATACATAAATCAATAAATCCAGGTAGAGCTTTTACAGAGCAGCTGTCTGCTTCTGCATAGGTACGAAAATGTCCTATGTCTATGTAGTTTTGCAGCTTGGTGCTGATCCAACATGCATGTACCTGGCTTTGTGTACATATAATAGATCAACTTTGACATGTGCGTCGTGCCTTACAATTCAAGTATAAACCTCAAGTAGTTTTAAAGAACCAGAAACTGTCATAGAGGAAGCTGTACATCTCATGGTTGAATACAGATCTCTCAAGATGTGACAGTTTCATTGTTAAAGACTCTTGAGTGGTGGGGACAATGGGTCGAAGTGCCAGCTTCTTTCTTCTTAAAGATTAAACTGCCTTGCACAACAAGCTAAACTCCAAAAGATGTAACATCTCCTAGTAAAACTATGCCTATTTTACAACGGCCTTGGCTAGCGACCGCAGTTCCAGTAGTGTTGAAAAAGTAACTTTGTAACCCATCTTCTCATTTATGACTGTCACAGATTTGTAAAGCAAAGGAAAGCTGAAGGAGGAGCCTAAGCACAGTCATGGTTTCACTTAGCAACTGTTTTGCTTAATCCAGTGGCTGACTCCAGTTGTGGTCATTAAATAAGGACTGCTATAGATCTGTGACTAGGACAACTATGAAGGAAGACCTTGGTTTTCAATGGTCTAAACCAGGGGTGTCAAAGTCACGTCATCACAGTAGCATCATGTGATGTATCGAGACACCACCACCCCCTTCGCTAAACCCAGCATGGGTGTGGCCAGCGTGTGACACATCCAGCACGTGGGCTCGGAGTTTGACAGCCCTGGTGTAAACTGTGATCTAGTGCAATGCATGAACCCATAGTGTCAATGTGCATACTACTTGACTAAGAGTAAGGGAAAACANTACAGTTTCACTCATTGGGGGGTGAGGGGAAGTGATGGAAAATGCTGAGATGGGAAAAGATCAGTGATGGGATTCAAAATTTCTTGCTACCGGTTCTGTGGCCGTGGCTTGATGGGTGTGGTGTGGCTTGGTGGGCATGGCTTGGTGGGTATGGCAGGGGAAGGTTACTGCAAAATCCCCATTTCCTCCCGATCAGCTGGGACTTGGGAGGCAGAGAATGGATGGGGACAGGGCCAGTCACAGGCGGTTCTCCAAATCACTCAAAATTTCCACTACTGGTTCTCCAGAATTGGTCAGAACCTGCTGAATACCACCTCTGGAAAAGATGTGCTGTAATCTTGGGTTATAAACACCAAGGTTAAGGTCAAGATCAGTATTCCTCATCCTTAGGAAGTTTTAAGATGTGTGGATTTCAACTCCCAGAATTCTTCAGCCATTGGAGTCCACACTTTTTAAAGTTCCCAAGGTTGAGAAACACTGATTTAGATAAATCCACTGATTAAGGCGCAGGAGCTTAGAAGCTAATGCAACAGTGGCACTTCCATCTGTGGCTTTCCTCCTTTGGGCTCTGCCACTCCTCAAAACACCCTCCAAAGGCGTTTTAAATGTTTCCTTGTGACTTCTTGTGATCATTTTAGATTAGCTGGTTGCTTAATTTTGATTTTGCTGTTAGCGACCAAGAGAACTCTTCTCCAGGATTAGGGTGGCAAAGAATACATAAATCAATAAATCCAGGTAGAGCTTTTACAGAGCAGCTGTCTGCTTCTGCATAGGTACGAAAATGTCCTATGTCTATGTAGTTTTGCAGCTTGGTGCTGATCCAACATGCATGTACCTGGCTTTGTGTACATATAATAGATCAACTTTGACATGTGCGTCGTGCCTTACAATTCAAGTATAAACCTCAAGTAGTTTTAAAGAACCAGAAACTGTCATAGAGGAAGCTGTACATCTCATGGTTGAATACAGATCTCTCAAGATGTGACAGTTTCATTGTTAAAGACTCTTGAGTGGTGGGGACAATGGGTCGAAGTGCCAGCTTCTTTCTTCTTAAAGATTAAACTGCCTTGCACAACAAGCTAAACTCCAAAAGATGTAACATCTCCTAGTAAAACTATGCCTATTTTACAACGGCCTTGGCTAGCGACCGCAGTTCCAGTAGTGTTGAAAAAGTAACTTTGTAACCCATCTTCTCATTTATGACTGTCACAGATTTGTAAAGCAAAGGAAAGCTGAAGGAGGAGCCTAAGCACAGTCATGGTTTCACTTAGCAACTGTTTTGCTTAATCCAGTGGCTGACTCCAGTTGTGGTCATTAAATAAGGACTGCTATAGATCTGTGACTAGGACAACTATGAAGGAAGACCTTGGTTTTCAATGGTCTAAACCAGGGGTGTCAAAGTCACGTCATCACAGTAGCATCATGTGATGTATCGAGACACCACCACCCCCTTCGCTAAACCCGGCATGGGTGTGGCCAGCGTGTGACACATCCAGCACGTGGGCTCGGAGTTTGACAGCCCTGGTGTAAACTGTGATCTAGTGCAATGCATGAACCCATAGTGTCAATGTGCATACTACTTGACTAAGAGTAAGGGAAAACAAAAATATCCCTTAAAATGGGTATTTAACTAATATTCTTTATTCCAACCCAACTAAGAATAATATCAGTTTTAAATATCAGAAGCACCGTTCTTTGAGCCCAAGAACTGATTTCTCTCCAGTCTTTTGCTAAGTTTGGGTTCAACTCAGGAATTTCTCCAAACCAGAAGAGTTTCTAGGCTCTTCTTTTATCATTTGATGTGTTACTTTGCTTTAAAAAAAAACAAAACATCCGTTTATTAAAAATGAAAGATGCCTAGCAAGAGAAATATGCCCTATCTTCATTTAAAGAAGGGCACTTTTGAAGATGACATTCCTGGTAGATCTGCCATCCTCCAAGAATACTTTAACATTTTCATTTGTTTCCCCCCGGCTTAAAGCGATGTACAGCTGACCATGCCGGAATACCAGTTTCTCCAGATAAATCAGCACATTCTCCATGGTTTGGCTTTGCGCTTTAT